AATATTACATGCATAAAGTACTTTAATTAGATAGTTGATAAAATTAAATAATTTTTTATATAATAATTATAATATATGTTTTAAATGGCATTACTTAAATTTATCAAATTTACAAAAATTACTTTGCGATCTTGGAGTTCAAATTTCATAACTTCCAGACTAAAGTGTACTTTGTGTAATATATCATAACAAAAAAATCTTTGTAAATATGAAAAGGCGCTACATCATCCATTCTCCATATCAAACCTTTCATAGTAAGTCTCAGAAAAGAGGATTTCTTCCGCCTCCAATCCCCCCAGCTAAGGCACTTTGTGGGGGAGACAAGTTCATCAAAAAATTAATTTACTTGCCTTGAAGTCAATTGGCAAATAAATGAAATCATAGGTTCCTTGACAGTGCTCATCTATTGCAGCCAGAAGCATCTTTGAGGTATACCTGCATAAAAAAGGCTATCGGATCGATAAAGAAATAGACAAGGAAAAAGGGGAAACCAGAAGCAACCAGAACAGAATGGTTTCTTTTTTTTTTTTTTTTTTTAACAACAGGAGTAGTATCACATATGATGTAATGATCAATCATTCACCACCAACACTGGATTTACTTTAACAACATTATAGACAATGGTCATTAAAATGACTCACACAATACTGTCAAAAATATAAACAAAACTAAGGGAATATAAATTGTGATTTCAAAGTCAACTGATATTAGTCCTAATCACAACATCTACAGGTTCTAGATCCTTTAGGGTTTGTTTCGTTGGTGGGACTGCTATTCCTAGGTGAAACTATGAAAACAAGCTAAAAATTGAGAAATTTCCATAGGAAATTAGGGATGTATAACTAGACAAGACCTTAGTGAAGGAAAAAATGTTCCATCATATGACGGTTTCAACATAAAGAAAAATATTGAAATCAAATGACAAACGTATAACTAGAAACATGGAAGATGAAGTAAATAAAGAATAAAATAGCTGGTGTAACAGGAAAATCATTCACATACTTGTTCGGAATGCTCTTTATCATCAGCATTGTTCTGCTGTCTTCCCCGCATATGATGCAATCAATGTCAAGTTCATATGGTTTCTTATCAGCATTATTAGAATTCGATTCTTTCTACAGTGTGAAAAATTTCTCACATGTTCATTGGAAGACTCAAAAGAACTTGGCATGGATATGACAGGGTTTCTTCCAGGGAAAAGGTGACACATTTGTTGAGGAGAGTGTACCACATCATTGTTTCCACCAGCATGTGAGAAAATGTTGTGAGAAGCAATTTCAACATATGGCTGCTGCATAATTAGAGTGATCACTCTGTGTTGGAAGAGGGTCTGGGATGGCATCACTGGGGTTTCATGTGTATTGCTGCAGATGTTCTGAAAGATAATATTAATCGGTTGTTGTTGGTAGAGCCTGTGGCTCAATAGCTGACAGATAATATTGATTAGTTGTTGGCAGAGCTTGTGGTTTCATAGCTGGGCAAGCATGGCTCATATTTGTGTAGTGGCTCCATGATACACATGTCATGAAGGTAGGATCCCATGTGGAATACTTTACACTCGGAGGCTCTAAAGTTGGTTGAGTGTGACTTGGGGGCATGATAGTCCCATTTGTGTCCATTTGGAAGCAGCTTTAGCGATGGCACAGTTTGAGGTCCACACTGACAGAGGGCGATGGCCTGTGTTCAGTAGGGGTCTGTAATAATCATGCTTCTAAAGGCCGTTCTGCCTAACATGTTGAAGATTTAAGACTGTTTCAGATTGACTAAGATTCACGCCAACTCCAAAGGGATCCCTTGGAAAGGGCAGCCTCCAGTGATTCTCCGTAACTGGAAGGTGCATGAGCTGCAAAGAATTTGGTGCTGACACCACTAATGGACAAAACAATGACAGTGGACTGCTTAATGCACCATATTAACACATGCTACTCAATAAAAGAGAAGTATGAACAAATAAATTAATGGAAAAGATTAAATTCCACAGATTCTTAACACATGCTACTCAATAAAAGAGAAGTATGAACAAATAAATTAATGGAAAAGATTAAATTCCACAGTTGTTATGGACTAAGATGGCTTTAGTGGATTGTATCTGTCATAGAAAATGTTTATTACAGGGTCGGCTGAACCAGATGTGAGGAATGATCCATCAGGAGACCATGCCTGCTTTATTAAAGCTAAGTGTAAATTGCTGATTTCTTGACCCAAATGCATGGAGATCTGTCTGCCTGCCTCA